CATCTCGGGCTGCAGAGGCTGCAGCAGCTGCAGTTTATGCTCCCCGTGCAGCAGCTTCATCGGATGGAAGTCAGGGATACCTAATAAAGATAAAGAAAGCAATCTATATAATATATATATATATATATCTATATGCATCTATATATAAAATATGTATATATATATATATATATTATATACATATATATAATGTGTATATACATGTATATACATGTACATATATATACTTGTATATAGATATATATATATATATATTATATATGTATATATTATATAGTGCAAACAAGTGGCTGGCCGCAGCATAAATTAGAAAAAAACGGAGACAGCAGCAGACAAACTAGCAGCAAAGGAGACACCAGAGAAGCTATATCAACAAGACACAGAAAAAGAGCAGCAGCAGCAGCAAAGGAGACACAAGAGGCACATGCAGAGAATGCAGCAGCAGCAAAGGAGACACATTATCTAACAAGTGAGAAGAGACCCAGGCAGCAGCAGCAGCAGCAGCAGCAGCAAGAGGCACTCCAGCAAGCAGCACGAAGAGGAGACAGTTGCTGTCTCTCACCAGGGCAGTTAGAGAGACCCTCAAAGACAGCAGCGACAGAAATAAAAGTTGTTGCTAAGGTCGGCAGCACATAAAACCCTAAAGAGCTGCCCTCGTAGCAGCACTGCAGATCCAGTTCATCCAAAGGGTCCTGAGGAGACAGAGGAGACAGAGGAGACAGAAGAGAAGGAGGAGACAGGGGAGATAAAGGAGATGAAGGAGACAGATGAGATAGAGGAGACAGAGGAGACAGTGTATATAGAGGAGATGAAGGAGACAGAGGAGACAGGAGAGACAGGGGAGACAGAGGAGGCAGAAGAGACAGAGGAGACAGAGGAGACAGAGGAGACAGAGGAGACAGAGGAGACAGAGGAGACAGAGGAGACAGTGTATATAGAGGATATGAAGGAGACAGAGGAGACAGAGAATATAAAGGAGGCAGAAGAGACAGAGGAGATAGAGGAGACAGAGGAGAGAAAGGAGACACTTAACTCAATCCGACAGGAACAAACAAACAAATACACAGAGGCAGACACAAGCAGCAGCAACTGCAGCAGCAGCAGCAGATGCAGCAGCAGCAGATGCTGCTGCTGTTTCTGCTACGGTAACAGCAGCAGCAGAAACAGCAACAGCAGATGCAGCACAAGATTTGTTGTTTATCGACTTTGTCTCTGTCTCTCTGTCTCTATATCTCTGTCTCTATCTCTTTATCTATCCACCTCTATCTCTCTGTCTCTGTCTGTATCTATCTGTCTTTATCTCTCTATCTGTCTCTGTCTCTGTCTCTATCTATCTGTCTTTATCTCTCTATCTGTCTCTGTCTCTGTCTCTGTCTCTGTCTCTGTCTATCTGTTTAAATATATTTGTACAGACCTGACATGCTGCAACCCCCAAAGCATATAAAATGCAGTCTCTCGATGTTATGTTTCTGTGCTCTTCGGCTAAGGCGAAGCCCCTGCATAACTCAGGGATTACCTAAAAAATAAAAGGAGACAGAAGACAAATAAAAGGAGACAGAAGAGATGTAAAAGGAGACAAAAGAGAAGTAGAAGGAGACAGAAGAGAAATAAAAGGAGACAGAAGAGATGTAAAAGGAGACAGACAGATTTAAAAGGAGACAGACAGATTTAAAAGGAGACAAACAAGAAATAAAGGAGACAGACAAATTTAAAAGGAGACAGAAAAAGAAGGGAGGGGAGACAGACAGACTTAAAAGGAGACAGCAGAGTAGGAGAAGGAGACAGACACCTGGAGTAAAGAAAGGATAAGAGACACAGAGAAGAGACTTACGCACCTACATACGCCTAAAGACAAAGAAAAATATGACAGAAAGAGACAGAAAGAGACAGAGACAGACAGAGACAGACAAAGAGAGACAGAGATAAATGGAGACAGAAGGAGACAGAGGCAGGAACGGGGAGACAGAAACAATATATAAACCCTAAAACCCTAAACCCTAAAAGAGACAGCGGAGTATTAAAAAGAGATAATAAAAAAAGAGACAGCATAGCAAACAACAAAGAAAAGGAGACAAGACACGACTGAGGTGGGCGCTAACAATAAAAAGAGAGGGAAAAGACAAAGAAAGACAAACGCAAACGAGGGTTTAGGGTTTAGGGTTTAGTAGGGTTTAGGGTTTAGGGTTTATAGTATAGGGTTTGTTGCTCTGGCTTAGTGTACAGCCTTTTGGGTCTAGGGTTTATTTTCTACTGCCTAGAAGTTAGGAATTAGGGCCTAGGGTTTAGGGTTTGGGAGGGTTTAGGGTTTAGGGTTTAGGGTTTAGGAGAGGAGGCGGAAGACCCCGAGAGGAGGCAATAGACAGCATGCACATGAGAGGAGACAGGAGACATAATAAAGGAGACAGTTATAATTTATTATTATTCTCTTTCTTCTTCTAGCGCTGTCTCTTCAGAGACACTCCTTGGGCCCCACAGTCGTTGGGTGTTGTTTTATCTCCCTCATTATTTGTTGTTTATCTTTATAAAAAGGAGACAGACACCTCATAAAGTGTCTCCTTGCTGCAGCAGCTGCAGCAGCTGCAGCAGCAGCAGCAGCATAAAGAAGGAGACACTGAAGAGACACCTCGTACCTGCTTTGGCTTCACCATGACTATATAGCTAGCGAGGAGGAGACAGCTGAGTTGCAGGTGTTTAGATTAAATAAAGAAGAGACTGCAGTTAGAAATAAAAGAAGTATTATATTTGCATGTATTTGGGGTGTATAGTCAGCTGCATGCAGCAAACAAACAGACACCGTAGAGACGCAGCAACACGACGGAGGAGACAGGGTAGCTGCCAGCTGTCTTCTGTTATTATTAGCTCATCTAAGGGTCTCCTTCTAACTATAAATGAGTAGAGCTGTTGTTATTATTTATTATTTATTGTTTACTATTATTGTTTCCTCCTCGCTGTGCTGCAGCGCAGCAGCAGCAGCAGCAGCAGCAGCAGCACAACGTGTGTCTGTCTCCTCAGCCGGAGGGCCTTCCAAGGTGGGGTTGTTGTTATTGTCTTTATTTATTTAATCTGTCTTCTACGCTTGCCTTCTGTTTGTCTCCTTTCAGATATTACTCTGTCTTCGTCTTCACTCTCACTGTCTCCTCGCGAGTTGCTGCGGTGTATATGCAGCTACAACAGTAAAAAACAAACAACACACAACAACTGGTGTCTCCACTTGGATATCTGTCTCTCTTCCTCTCTCTCTGTCTTGTTCTCTGTCTCTGTCTGTCTTTGTCTCTGTCTTCTGTCTCTCTCTCAGTCTCTCTCTCTCTTTGTCTCTCTCTGTCTCTCTCTCTCTCTATTTATATCTCTCTGTCTCTCTTTTTATATCTCTCTGTCTCTGCCTCTGTCTCTGTCTCTATTTCTGTCTCCGCCTTGCTAATATGAGTCGGCACACACTTCTTCAGACCCGGGCTAACAAAGGCTGCAGCTACCCACAGCTAGCCACGGCTACCCACAGCTAGCTACAGCTAGCTACAGCTAGCTACAGCTAGCTAGAGGCAGCCACAGCTAGACACAGATAGCTACAGCGAGCTCCGACCAGTTGCGGCTACCCACAGCTAGCTACAGCTAGCTACAGCTAGCCACAGCTAGCTAGAGCTGTTTGCATCACCAGCATCCTAGTGTATGTCCAGCACTTTACGCGCGGCTACTGGTAGAGCCCTTGTATGCAGCGAAAGGAGACAGTCTCCTCTCCCCTCCAGCAGTAGCTCAGGTGTACAGACACCTTGCGGTGTATTTAAACCGTAAGCAACTCAAAAGGAGACAACAGCAGGTGTCTCCTCTGTGCGTATACACTCCAAGAGGGACAGGGAGATGCATATACACCTCAACGGAGGTGCTTAGCTTCTTCTTTAACTACGTCAAAGACAACTGCAGCACATACTGTAGATATCATCTGGCTATCTAATGTCTAGCTTGCTGCAGCTATTTACAAGTCTTGTATTTGCAGCTAGCTGTAGCTAGCCAGTAGCTAGCTACGGCGATCCGCAGCTAGCTACAGCTAGCTAGCCGTTAGCCGCAGCCTACAGCTAGCTAGCAGTTAGCCGCAGCTGTTCGCTGCAGCAAGCTGCAGTACTTAACCAGTGGTCCGCTGCAGCAATCTGCACTTATACTCGCAGCTAGCAGTAGCTAGCTAGCAGCTAGCTGTGACAGCTAGCTTCGACTGGGTGGCTGCTGCGCTGCTGCACAAACAGCAGAATATGCGTCACCGCTGTTGTAGGGGTCTCGTGGGGAGCTGCTGCATTTTACTGTCTCCTTTTTTGTGTCTGTCTCCTCTTCTGTCGTTGTCACTCCTCAGGCTGCTGTCTGTCTCCTTGTGTAGCCTCTGCTGGGGCCTCAAACTGTCTCTCCTGTCTCCTTTTGTCTCCGAGACACGTTTTCTTTGTGTTTGCTTTTAGCAAGTGGCTGTCTTAATGCTGCTTTTATGTCTTTTGTTTCTAAAGGAGACAACAGACAAATGCTGTCTCCTTTACTGTCTCCGAATAAGGTTGTGCATAGAGAAAACTGTCTCCTCAACTGAGAGAGACCGACATAGCAAACACTTTTAGCTCCAAATAGACAGCACTCTCCAAAGGGAGGGGACTGAGGTGTACATGCACCTCAAGTCGCTGAGGTGTACATACACCTCAGTTGCTGAGGTGTATGCACACCTCAAGTTGCTGAGGTGTATGTACACCTCAGTTGCTGAGGTGTATGTACACCTCAGTTGTTGAGGTGTGCGTACACCTCAAGGTGCTGAGGTGCGTATACACCTCAGTTGCTGAGGTGTATATACACCTCACATTCAAATCGGCAAGCAAACAAACCTGTATTTTCCTTCGCTTTAGCAGCACCCAGACAGCAGCACCCTCTAGGAGGAGCGCTTGTCTGGTGTGTATGCACAAACAGCTAACAGAAGCAGCAGCAGCAGCAGCAGCAGCAGCAGCAGCAGCAGCAGCAACAGCAGCAGGAGCGGTGGCTGGCTAGCCTCGCCTTCTCCCCAAAACTGCAACAGCAGCGCTGTGCAAGGAGTCAGATACGCTGTCGCTGTCTATCAGCTGCTGCAGCTGTCTCTGCACAAGCAGCCTTCTGTCTCCTTTCAGGTGTCTCCACCCCGAAAACAAACGAATGCCCTCCACAGCAAGAGGGCTCCCCAGCTGATCCAGCTGCACATACACCCCAGCTCGCAAACCCTAAACCCTAAACCCCACACCAGTCTAAACCCTAAACCCTAAACCCTAATCTTTAAACTCTAAACCCTTATTATTCCTAAACCCTAAACCCGAAGCTCTAAACCCCAAATCCTAATCTCTAAACCCCAAATCCTAAACCCTAAACCCTAAACCCTAAACCCTAAACCCTAAAGCCTAAAGCCTGACCTGTAGGACAGCATCAATGAGGAGACGATATCCCTTCCCATCAGGGCGATGAAAGTGAACGAAGTTATTTTGAGCAAAGTCAAATATAAGAGAGCGAACAGCAGCAGCATCTAGAAAAGAGAAGGTGGGGTGTCTCTGCAGCTGCTTCATTATATCAATCTGCTGAGGAAGATCTGCTCCTGCCTGTACACTGAGCCAGCCGTTCAGCAGTTTCCTCCTCCCTTAGCACACAATCACAACAACCCCACCAATATAATAATATATTATTACTCTTATAACAAATAAATAACTCTATGAGAAGATAAAAGGAGACAGGGAGAGAAAAAGGAGACAGAAAGATACAGGGGGAGACAACGGGAGACAGAAGGAGACAGGGGGAGACAGAAGGGGACAAAAGGAGACAGAAGGGGACAAAAGGAGACAGGAGGAGACAAAAGGAGACAGGAGGAGACAAAAGGAGACAGGAGGAGACAAAAGGAGACAGAAGGAGACAGAAGGAGACAGAAGGAGACAGAAAGATACAGGAGGAGACAGGGGGAGACAGGAGGAGACAGAAGGAGACAGGAGGAGACAGGAGGAGACAGAAGGAGACAGGGTGGTAGTGGTTTTGTGATTACCTGCTGCATGCTCATAAAATGCATCTAGGGCTTGCTGTCTCTGAGGGTGCTGCATATTAGCTAGAGCGATAAGAGCAGAGTATTTGTCTGTAAGACAGACAGCTTGCTGATAATAATTAAAAGCTAGCTGAGCTGCTGCGCTGTCTCTAAACTCTGATAAAAAACTAAAGACAGCATTACGCAGCTGACGGAGACTCAAGCTTTTAGGGGTAAGACAGGCATGTGGGGTGGTAGAGGAGACAGTTATAGTAGACAATTTATCAAACAGAGACAGGAGCTCTCTCTTTAGAGACAAACATATTTCTAATATCACTGATCTCCGAGCGCGATGAAGAGCTTCAGGGTCTAATGGATAAAATTTTTCTGCTAACTCAGCCAGTGTCGGCACAGAAAAAGATAAAGCCTGAGGTGCGCAGACACCTCAACAAACATATACACAGCAAATGCATTAAATGAGGTGTACAGACACCTCAGCAAACATATACACAGAAAATGCAACAAACATATACGCAGAAAATGCATTAAATGAGGTGCGCAGACACCTCAACATACACATATACACAGGACAAATGAAGTTAGCTCAGGTGTACATACACCTCAACAAACATACACACGCACACACACACACGCATACACACACATAAATATTTAAGAGGAAATGCATATGCTATGCATGCAGCAGCAAAGGAAGTGTCTCCATTTATGTTGCTGTGCGCGTAGAGCCAGACAGAGACAACAGACAGAGACAGTAGACAGAGACAACAGACAGAGACAACTAGGAGAGAGGAAGGAGACACCACAGGAACAGAAGAGAGATAGAAAGGAGACAGCGGGAGAGACAGAAAGGCATAAACCCCACACACAAGACAAGAGAGGAGACAGAGGAGGAGACAGCAGCACCACTTAGGAGACAGTGCATTGGTTGCTTTCTGTTAGAGATACGCCCCAGCACAGACGAGAGAGAAGTGCTGCGTACGTCTCAGTCCTTCTATATATATATAATGTATACATATATATATACATATATATCTGTAAACGTTTATATATATAGATATATCTGTATATATATATATATATGTATATATATACATATATATATGAATATAGACATATCTTCCTTTATGTATATATGCATAAATACGTGTATATATATATGTATATATATATGTATATATATATGTATATTATATATAAATATATATATATATATATATCTGCATACCTTAACAGAAGGGGGTATATGTGGGTGTTGAATGACAGAGCGCAGCGCGTCAATGAATTGCGGGGGGAGAGGAGAGAAAGGGGCTTTTAAATCTTGTCGACCGACTGCAGCTCGAGGTAGAATAAAAGAAAGATAAACAGAGTCGCTTAGTCTCCAGCGACTAACTGCATCGGCTTCCATAGATAGCAGCAGCATGCGGTGTTCATGAGGCAGCTGATGATACACCCGAGCAGGAGAGGCAAACTCGCGGTGTATAGACAATACGCAATCTTCGTTAATGTGCGGGATACGAAACGTCTCACGATCCCGTGTCAGAGTCAACACCTGCATATACACCCCACACCCCACACCCCACACCCCACACAACAATATATGCCTACACCTCTATTAACGCAGAAAGGAGACAAATGCATGCAGGCAGACACTCCACAGATAACAGCAATAAAGACAAAAGGAGACAGTAGAAAGAAAGACAAGCAAAGAAGAGACAGATATTAAAGGAGACAACAAAAAGAAACAAAAATAAGAAGGAGACCCCTAAACACTATTTGCATACTCCCTGATGCTTCCACCTCAACAGAGGGATTGACACATACATACACCTGTGCATAAACAACCTAGGGTTTAGGGTTTAGGGTTTATGTGAATAGTACCTGGGTAGAGGGGTTAAGAAGATCTTTCTTCGTAGCTTGCGAGACAAGCCCCACCTTAATAGGTATTACAAAAGGAAGCTTGTTTGGCTGCATGCGCGACGGGGGCGTAGACTGCTGAAGAGTTAAAGAAAAACACTTCAGCTGCGGAATGTATGCAGCGTGCTGCACCCACACCTCCGGTGTACCCGCCTAAGACACAGAGACAGAGACATTATATATATATATATATAGATGTATATATATATATATATATGTATATATGCATATATATATATATATATACATGCGTGTATATGTGCATATGTGCACATGTGCATATATATACATATATACGTATATATATATATATATATAT